CGTCTGTTGTTCGAAGTTCGCGCGCCAGATTTAAGTATGCCGGGGTATACCCCGTACTCTTGCATATGGCTGAGTTCATCGCGAATCTTATCGCAGGTAACTTCCCTGGCCAAGTCGTGTGTTTCTCACCCACTAAGATGGCTAGTTGAGGTTTTAGATCGCGGTTGCGTCTCTCCACTGGATTGGCTTGTGGGTGGTACACCGGAATAAGGTGCTGTTTGATCCCTAGGCAGTGCGTCGTGTGCTGCATGACTGCACTCACAAACTGAGATCCGTTGTCACTGATAAGCCTTCTTGGGAACCCGAACCGCAAGAAAACTTCATCCACTAGTGTTTTCGCACATTCTTGAGCTGTTGCATTTTTCAGTGCGAAGAGCTCCACCCATCTGGTCGTTGGGTCTTCGACGATGAATATCCATTTCAGGTCTTCTTCCGACGCTGGTAGAGGTCCAAATAGGTCTATGGCGATGACTTCAAACCTTTGTTGTAGCGGCGGTGTCTGTATCAATCCCGCCGGCTTCTGATTCGTGGCTTTGTACCGCTGGCACTCCACGCAATCCTTTAAGTGAGCCGTCACGTCGCGTCGCATGCTTGTCCAATAGTACCTTTGGCTGATTCGTCCTATTGTACGTTCAATACCAGTGTGTCCTGCAGTTGAGGCGTTGTGGTATTCGTGCAGAATATCTTTAACTTCCTGTGCCGGGACTACCAGCTGTGGTTCCTCCGCGTCAGAGTCTGGATTGTACCTGTATAATACCCCTTGATACATTAGGTATCCTCGTTCTGTCCACCTTTGGTAGTCCTGCCGGTCTTCGGTCGTTTCAAACGCATTGATTATTTCTTGCAATTTACTGTCCTCAAATTGACCCCGTCTTGTTTCAGCCGCACTTCTGCTTGGGTAATTGATTGAAACCAATCCAATCCGTGCGGATGTTACTTCTTGATTTTCGATGTTCGGTCGTGACAACGTGTCTGCTACTACGTTAATCCTTCCCGGGGTGTAGTCAATTTGCAGGTTGTACTGCTGCAGTAGTAATGCCCATCGCGCCAGTCGACCACTGGGCGATTGTAGGGTCATTAACCATTTTAGAGGCCTGTGATCTGTGGCTACCGTTATCTTGGCCCCTTCGATGTACCCACGGAACTTGTTAACGGCCCATACCACCGCCAGTGCTTCGCGTTCCGTGGTGCTGTAATTCCTTTCAGCCGGAGTCAATAGGCGACTTGCATACTCTACCGGCCTTTCGTCGGCGCCTTCTCCTTGTAGTAATACTCCCCCTAGAGCATAGCTGCTTGCGTCGGTTTGCAGGATGTATGGTTTCATCTCGTCTGTCTGCCTCAGGATAGGGCTCGGCATTAATGCTTCCTTGAAGAGATCACCGTTCGAGGGTAGCTGCTGCACCTTCCATCGATCTTCTTCTGGAACTGGATGTCCCTTATTTTTGCGCTGACTCAGCTCCTTGGCGCTCAGAGAGGCTATGTGAATTGTAGGGATGATCATTACCGAGCGAAAACAGGTGTCGAACAGCGCGTCCAAAGTGTGCTGTTCATCCTTCTTCTCCGTTGGCGTAGCTGAGCGCAAACAGGCATCGAACAGCGCGTCTAGTACCTGTCGATCATCTGTTTCATCCGTGTCCATTTCTTCTTGTGTTGGTGCCGGAACGCTCATGGCAGCCTCGTTAACATGCTCTGCATCCCGTGTTATTTCGACTGTCCCGAAAATTTCATCCTTTGCTGCGAAAGGGTACTTTTGCGTCTGGTCCGAAAAGTTCCATGTGCGGTACTTCATGTCTAGCACGAGACCGGCCTTGTGCAAGAAATCCATGCCTAGCAGGCTGTAGTTTCCCTTTGCTTCCGGAATCACGACAAATTCCGTTGGCACTGGTCTGCCTTCCAGCCGCACAATGGTCGTTGTCTTTAATATGGGTCGAAGCTTCGACTCTCCATCAGCCATCGTCATTGTCATCATTGACGGTTCAAATTGATGGTTCGTTGACTGCAGTAATTTGTATAGAGTCTCTCCCGCGATGCTCTTTTCTGCGCCGGTGTCCACAAGTGCGTAACCCATTACGCCTTGGATTTGTGCTTTAATAACGGGCCTGGAGCAAGGATCTTGAGCCGCAGTTCCTCCTGGTTGGCGGTTCCATTTCAGATCACGCTTCTTTACCCAGGCCAGACGTCTAGGGCAGACTTCTTTTAAGTGCCCGTTCTTCTTGCAGTAGCTGCATTTTCCTGGCTCTTGCGTGGTCAGGCTGAAGAATCCGACTCTTTGCGTTGTTGCTGTCTGTGCGGTTGTTGGGGGAGAGCAGACCGGACACTTGCTGCGGATAACCCCTGCCTTGCCGCATCCATAGCAGTAAATTCTCGCTTCGCTGCGAGTTTCTGGCTCCTCTTTCTTAGGAGTCTGCTTGGTCCCTTGGCGTTTGCGACATTCCGTGACCGTGTGTCCAGTGTGGCCGCAAAAAGAGCAAGTTTTTCGTCTTCCCGCCGGATTACTCTCTCCCTGTTCTGCCTCGGAAAGGTTAGCTTCCACGTCGCGAGCTCTTTGAAGCAGTTCATCAAATGTAGTGACCGTTGTCCGTGGGATGCGTTCACGGATCCGCATATGCAGTAGTCCGTAAAGCATATCAAGCTGTATATCTGTCGCGATATCGTATGGCAACTGCGCCAGCAGTGCCCTCTTTTGGCAAACGAATAAGTCGGTACTCACCTTCTTTTCTTGACGAGTGCCAAAAAAATCTATATAGACGCTGTGCGGGGGTTTACTTGGGGCAAACGACGTCCTTATTAAGTGAATCGCCTCGTCGAACGTATTGGCCTCCGACCACGTAGCCGCCGTGTCCTCGAGAAGTAGTGGTAGCCCCTTTAGCGCATTCTCATCCGAGATGCCTTCCACGTCTTTGTACAAGACGATGGTAGTTGTGAAATCTTTCACCTTTTCAGGAACCCGCGTTCCGTTGAACCTGGCCGTGCACCTGGCAAAGCTGCCAGACACCAAGTCCGTCCGTGTGTTTTGTGTGCTTATCACTCCGATCAGTCGCTGCAACATCTCTTCTGACATGGTAACTGCCATTTTTCCGTTTCTGGCCACTCGGTTGGGCGCCAGTTTGTAATGGGGTAGGGTTAGAATCAATGAATGAACACAGTTTCAACACTACCGTCACTTTATTTTCGGGTATGTAGGTACAGAATACGGAAAGAACAGATATAAATATATATAGTCACTAAGTCAGTTATGCTACACGTACACAAAGAGTAAAATTAACAAAGTCAGAGTTACTTTATTACACTAAGAGTTTACACAGCTTTCGACTTAAATGCCTCCGCATTTAATTCACAAAGTTCAAAAAATTATTAAATGCTTCTGCATTCAACTACACTAAGTCCGAAATTATTTAAATGCTTCTGCATTCAAAATCACTAAGTCCAAAATTATTTAAATGCTTCTGCATTCAAAATCACTAAGCCCGAAATTATTTAAATGCTTCTGCATTCAAAATCACTAAGTCCAAAATTATTTAAATGCTTCTGCATTCAAAATCACTAGAAAAGTATTAAATGTATCTACACTTAATAACTTTTCAACCGTTTTTGTTAATCTTAACAAAATAATTCTAATATCTTAAGCCAACTTGTTAAGTTTGCTGATGCAGTCAGAACAAGTTCCTTAAGGTATTAGGGCAAACGCGACTAAACACTTTTGACAAATTTCTTAATTTTCTATGACCTTATATACTAATTGAGCTTCTCCTACTCCTGTAGTGGGGTTGATTTCTTGGCGAGGGTGGTGGTTCCTTCGTATCCTTTCGGAGGTCGTCGTCGGTTCATCTCGCCAAAATCTTCGGGGGATGAGACGGTCATTGGTCTATGATGAACTCATCTCGCTTGAGGTCATCGATAATTGGCTAAGACAAATTTCTCCTTCGGTGACGTAGAATGTGTACATATGATTATCTTTCTCACACCCTCGCTTGAGTCACAGGGCAAAGTTGCATGTATCATCGTCTTAATCTTTTATCTTTCTTTAACTTAGCTTTGCTCATGGATTAAGGCATCTTATCGCTTGCTTACACAGATGACACGGTTTGCACAAGTTCTTCGTCCCTTTCTGTCTTTACGCCTGAGGTCTAACGGGATCGTGCGTAGTCGTAGTAGAATCTTCTATCCTTGTTGTACCTGCGCTAGTGTGTATGCTGCATCTTGCTTCCGCGTAGGACCCTATGCTCATAGTGGTATGTGTAAACTTTCTCTTTGGTGACGTCACGCGTATTCTCGTGCGTTGTTGACAAAATATTTACGTACAGCGAATTTTGTAAATAGATTACGAATATTTTGTAAATATATTTCGAATGTTTTGTAAATACATTTCGAATGTTTTGTAAATATATTACGAAATGTTTGTTAAAATAATAATTGTTACATGACTAATATTAATTAAATATAGAATGTTACAACATTTAATTTTTCTTATTCATAATCATAAATTTATTATACATATTCTAATATTGTCTAGGCTCATAAGTAAATTGAAATTTTTGGCAAATGATAGTTTTCATTTGTTTTCAATGCAAACAATGACATGTCGTTTTTTACAATTTTTTCATTTATTTCTACAATATTGCACATACATCCCAGTACTTTATAGTGACACACATCCTAGAAAATTTCCTTAATAAACTTCAGAAAGATTTATCAAAATCCGCATAATCGTTTAGAAGGAGTATACAGTGATTGCTTGTAATTCAATATGAACTTTATATAATACCAATAAAGCTCAAATTGATTCTATGTTGTAGTTAGAAAACGTTTGTATGAGAAAAAGAAAAGGGCTGTTTTTAGGGTTTTCCCGGCAATTATTCGATTTTTTCTCGCCGTAAGAACAATTCTTGGACATCAACGAACATTTTAAAAAAAGAATATGCCAAATTGGTCCAGGCGTTGTTGAGTTATGCGCTTACTAACACATTTTGCAATTCATTTTTATATATAAGATAGAAATATTAAATCAATTTTAAAACAAACCTTTTTCCTCTTTGGTTTCTGTCAACGCTTCTGAAAGTAGCCTCCTGTTGCTGCCCTCTTACCAAATTCTGTTCTACCAAGCTCGGTCTCTTAAATTCTACCTTAATACTTTCCGGATCCACATTGAAATTATCTGCAGGAATATCAAACTGATTAACAACCCTGACTTCAGAATCTTTCACGATTTCAGGTTGTCTTGGTATCAAAGATTCTCTTTGCAAATAAACTGGAGATGATGATTCTATAGAATTTGTTTCTAATGGTTGTCTGGAAGTTGGTTTTGATGATGTTCTTTTTTGAGATGGTCTACCAGTGGACGATGGTGCTGTGTTTTCCACAATTGTGCTCAAAAGGTCCAAAAGTTGAATATCACTCTGGCTAGGTGTTAAGGTTTTTGGTTTTGTGGTCGTTCGACGAGCTGGCTTTGTGGTCGTTGTTGTCGTCTGCGAATATAGAAAATTAGTTGTTTACCTTAAACAAAAATAGTTTGTTTAAACGTACACGTACCTTTGGTTGCCTTTCAGTATTTGCAAGATCCTGTGGTGTATTGCCCAAGTTATTCAATATATTAGCCAGCAATATCTCATCTGGAGATTGTGGTTTGGCAGTTGGCAAATTGTTTAAGTTGCCCAGAAGATTTGAAAGTATTTGTTCGTTCACAATTGGACTAGGCGTTGTAGTTGTGTATGATTGTTGAGGTTTGGGCCTTTCTGTACTTCTGGTACCTAGGATAAAATAAACATTTAACTAGGTAAAAGTGGTATCGTGCCTTAATGCAAATTGCTGGAACTTTCCGTACCGTAATTAAAAATTCGAGCAATGAAAATTAGCAATAATTGTTTTAAATAATTTCAAATAGATATATTTATAATTAATCAGGTGATCAATTTTTAAGGATTTTTGGACCCCCCCTCCCCCTTGGTGATTCGTGGTGATATTCGAAGATACCCGATATATAGTTCCGAGACTAAATTGTAATTTTTTTGTTTTTTATTGAAAATGTTTGGATTTAAAAAAAATCAGGTAAAAATAAATACACGTGATATCTTACCATACCCCTTGCTCCCCCATGTGATATTTTGTGATTGTGAATTTTTTTCAAAATTTTGAAATTTTTTGGAATTTTTTCAAAAAAATTATTTTAATTTGTAATGTAATTTTTTTGAGAATTTGGTAATTTTTGAAAATATCCGCTATTTTGAAAATTTCGAAATATTCTCAAATTTTTGTAAGAAATCGTTTTTTTTTCTATATTTTTCGAAATTTAAATTTTTTTTGAAAATGATAGAAATTTCGAAAATTTGAATTTTTTGGAACCTTAAATTTTTTTGAGTATTTTGAAACTTTGTTTGAAAATTTTCGGAACTACGAAATTTTTTGCAAAACCATTTTTTGCACACCGTCGTCACAAGCTGAAAGTTTTTTGAATTACAATTGCATGACCAATTTTACACCTTTGCGCTCCATACTTCCGGAACGGCGAGACGTGCCTTTTGCAAAAACGCCTCGCGATCGAGTACTAACCGAATATTTTTTCAATAACACAAATCGGTTATTCCATACTGTCGAAAATGTTGAGGACATTTGTTTGAACCATATAAATAAACTTCAAAATTCAAAATCTTGGCAAGAAACCCAGAAAAATTGACACAAAATGTGTACACATTATTAAAATGTTTATAAAATATCTGATAATTTGATGTGCATATGTCCAATGAACATTTTTGACCGCCAAATGGCATTTTTCTAAACTTATTTTAATTGAGACATCATAACCGCTGAACCTGCCTTTCCAAAAATTTGAACTGTTCTTTGTTTAGTCAATACAAATAAAATGTTTTTTGAATTATTCAAATGGAACGTTTCGTTCTCTCAAAAATTGAATTACCATTTTTAGTTTGTTTTGCCCCGTATCTTTGAAACGGCTAGACCTGCCTTCGTCAAAAACTAATCACCACGTCTCCTTATCAATACGAATCGAATGTTTTTTAAATTATTCAAATCGGTTGATCCGTGTTTCCGAAATCGTCGACAATAATTTGTATCCGCACACACACCCGCACATACATACACATATACACAGACACATATTTTGTTTTTTTTCGATTTTTTTGCGATTACTATAACTTGCACTACGGGAAGTTAATAAATAAAATTGACCCCAAAATTTAAAAAAGTGTTAGCGTTAGACAACCCTTAAAAATGTTTTTAAAGTAAAATTTAGACATTTTCATCGAGATGGAAAATGACTAAATTACTAAAATGGCTATAAAATGGCTATAAATGGCTATACACACATACATCCATTTGTTTAGAAGGTTTTGAAACGTGAAGATATATAAAAAAAATATTTTCGATTTTTTTGCGATTACTATAACTTACCCTACGCAAAGTTAATAAAGGTAGTAATATAATAGAGTTTATCTAAATATAAATATTACCTAAAACATTCAACAAATTTGCCAAAACTTCATCTTGACTTGTTTCTTGTTGCCGATTCCTCTGAGTATTTGTTGCTTTCGTGGTTGGATTATCTAAATTTTTTAATAGTTCAGCAAGCAATTCATTATCATTTTGCTCCTCGGTCGTCGTTGTAGTTCTAATGGTTGTTGGTCTGGTTCGTGGTGCTCTTGTAGTTGTTGGCCTTGTTATCGGAACTGCTGTAGATCTTGCTAAATTCTTCAGCAACTCTGCAATCAGTTCATTGTCCACCGGCTCTTCAGTTGTCGTAGTAATTGCTGGCCTGGTTCTAGGCTTTTTAGTTGTGGTGGTTGTAGGTGCAGTAGTCGTTGTGGTTGTACTAGCTGTTCTTCCAATACTTTTTAACAATTCTGCAATAAGTTCGTTGTCAGATGGTTCTTCTTCAGTTGTTGTAGTCGGTCTGTATGTCGTTGTTGTAGACCGTCCTAGATTTTTTAACAACTCTGCTAATAACTCATTATTTTGTGATGTTTCTTCTGTTGTCGTAGTGGTTCTTCTTGTGGTTGTCGTTGTTGGTTTAGGTGTCGTCGTTGTTGTGGTAGTAGTTGTTGTGGTTGTGGTAGGTTTAGTTGTCGTCGTCTTAGGTCTAGATGTGGTTGAAGGTCTGGCTAAAGATTGTAAAAGTCTTGCAATCTCATCATTTGCTAAAGCTTGTTGACTTTGCTTTGTTGTCGTAGTTTGTTTAGCAGTAGTTGCATCCAATTCTCCACCAAAAGTGTTCAAAAGTTGAGCAACCAACGGATCAGTTATATCGAAACCAGAACTGTTTGGCGACTTATTTCTATTATCTATTGATGTCAACAAACGTGCCAAAAGTTCTTCATCACTCGGCAACTTTTCTGTGGTCGTGGTTGATGTTGTGGTGTCTAGAGACCTCAGAAGCTGAGACAATAATTGATTCCTGTCAACTGGATTTTTGGGATCGTTTTGTTGGTTCAAGGAGCCTATCAAGGCATTCAATAAAGCACTGTCTTGTGGGGTCGGGCTGGCTGTTCTTACTTGATTTGCACGCAGAATTGGGTCGTCGTCTAATTCTGAAGGTTTATTTGGTACCCGGATTTGATTTTGCTGTGTTTGATATTTTTCTGTGGTTGGGTTTTGGTTTGCGAAAGTCATTCGGCCACGAGAACGCTGGGTGGTGGTTGTTTTGACTACTGAAACATAATAATTAGGATTAAGTTCTAAAAAAGAGTGCGCGTAAGGTTCACACGCGATTGAAATAAAACTTATTTGCTACTGTACGAGATGGCATTTAAGTAAAAATATACACATCATATAACAATTTTGAATAATATTTATGAGTAATATGGTAACACTCGTGATGCACACATTTATTAGTGTCAACCATTATACACATTTATATAATGATAAATTATAAATTATATATTTATAATAGCATTAAAAATATGTATGAGATATAACAACAATAATGTAATTAAAGTCATACTTCAAATACGACATGATCGGTTTGTCATTGTAATTAGCATTTAGAAATGAACCTTCGTTAGAGAAATGAAGTAATTGCTGATTAATAAATTCTATAATATTCGTTCACACAGTGATTATGTTAAACAACGCCTAAACAAATATTGTTTTTGCAACATCACTCATCCTGTAATAATTGTGTTTGAAGAACTTCATGTAATTAATATTAACATACATTTATTGACTGACGGTATTTTTTTTTACTTTTTCGCTGGCGATATAATCTCATTCTTTGAACAACTGTAATATCAGTTTTGCCTAAAAAATATTTTTTATTTCAATAACTTCAAAGATTTATAGAAACTACCATTAAATAGAAATTATTTCAATAAACTTATGTTTCATACACGGCGCAAATGCTGCATTTGTTTTATTATTTCCATTATAATTATTTACGGGGGACAGCGTAAAATATTCTTTTGATTTAGGCATTTTTCATTAAATCAAGATGTGTACAACGATGTAACTTTAAAATGCTTATCCATCATTTTACGCATACAACGTTGATGCTGGTACGCATACAACGACAGATCTCTATTTACATACGCGACGACTAATCACAATCGACGTGTATAGTAATATCATAGGGAGCGAATGACGAATCATTGGCACTCGACTCTTATCTGCCGTAACGCACTTCCGTTGCATTTGTACGAATTTACACCCTAGCCGCGCCTAAAGAAGTTTTACTTCAGCAATAACAATAAAAAGTTTTAGAAAATATTAATGAACCTTCTTTTCTGCTATCATCCAAACTCTGTCTATCGTAATTTTTTTCTTCGCCTCCGACTGATAGTTCCACATCCTTCACCAGATTCTTGTGGTTTTCTTGATTTCTACCATTAGATCTACCAAGACCTAAAGATTCTAGTAAACCTAAAGCTGCAGTAACAGATGAAATTGGTGGAGTTACTGTCGTTGAAGTACCATTGGAAATTTTTTGGTCGTTATTGGCTAAAACAACTATTTTTTTAGCCAAATTTTTGTCCAAAGGTCTTGAAGTTACTGTATTAGCTACATTGCGCTGGATGAATAAAATTATAAATTTATTTAACATGTGGCAGAAATATTGATAATTCATTGAATTATTTTATTTACCAGATTATTAAGGAAGGCCAAGTCTTCAGCATCTGTCAGTGTCGTTTTTGGTCTTAGAGTACTCAAACCCAATCTTTTCCTCAGAGCAATTTCTTCCTCATCTAATTCGCTGATTGTATTTATTGTTCTAGAAGGTGTTATAATAATTGGTGTTGTAGATCTAACTGGTTTTACAGTAGTAGCAAGTGGTAATTCCACTTGCAATGGTGATCTGCCATCATTTCGTACCTTGAAAAATGATAATTTAATTAATTAATTAATTTATTTATTAACTTCCCGAAGGAGAAGTTTATATTTTCATAAAAAATCCGATTTGCTAATTTTATGTTTTCTTGACGTTTCAAGCCATTCTGAATCGAATGAGACCAAATTTGGAAAAAGTGTGTGTGTGTGTGTTTGAACAGATTTTTTGCCGTAAATCGACGTTTTCTCAAAAAAAAACGGCTGGATGGGTTTCAAAAATTTAAAAACCAATCGATGTATCTCGATGAGGACTATTGTTTGTCAGGTTTGTGCGACAATCGGCCAAGCCGTTTTTTTATAAATCGCAGAAAAGTGAAAAATTTTTCGACAACTCGTTTAGCTTTAAAAATTCGTCAAAGTTTGCAAAAATTAGTATGGTCTTTTTGGCATTTGTCAAAATTAGAACTTTCATCGACGTTTGCTCGAAAACGTCTGAACCGATTTCAGAAATTTAAAAACCATTTGATGTATCTCGATGAGGATTATCGTTTCTCAGTTTTGTGCGACGATCAGCCGAGCCGTTTCTTTGTAATTTGGAAAAAAGTGTTAAACTTTTCGTCCACATTTAAGTTCATACTACAAATCTACCGAGCCGTTTTCTTGTAATTAAGTGTTGAAAAAAAAATTTTAAGCCGGTTTTTATGGATCTTTTTTTTGGCGATATATATCATGGCCTTATAGAACTTACTGAAATATTACGGCCTTACGACAAGTAGCTTAATTTTAAAAATTCATCAAAATTTGAGAAAATGAGTAGTTCTTTTGGCATTTGTTAAAATTAAAATTAGACGATTTACTTGGTATAACGATAGAGCACTTGGTCTTATGAATTTAGTTTATACTAAACAATTAAAGTCCTACAAAAAACTGGCTCAATCATAAAAATTATTGATTTTTGAAAATTTGCTTTTAGAAAATACTCCAAGTTAACGTGTTCGTTTGCTTTCAATGATGTGTAATAAATCCACTCGGAATACTTTTAATCACTCATAAATTAATTTATTTTTTATTGATTAGGTCGATTAATTACACATATCGGGAAGTTCATCTAACTTGCCTCAAGGCAAAATACCAATACCGACTAGTTTTTTTACTTATTCATAAGCAAGCCGTAATCAATAATAATAGATATTGTTTCAGGCTCAATAAGTCAATCTTATTCATAATTAATATTAAATGGAATTATATAATGGAGTAATAATCATTTACCAATAGTAATGAAGAAATATTAGGGATAGAATTTAATACAAACTTGTTTAGGATTCCTTCTCATCAACTCGCTGTCCAAATATTTCGGAATAGTTTCTTTCGTGGTTGTCAACGTTTGTATATTTATATTCTCATCAGTACTTTGATTATTTTTATCAGAATTTTGACTGGTTTCTTTATTGAAACGTCCGCCAATAAAGTCAGGTTCGAAATATATGTTATCAGTACTGCGTGATGTGGTTGTTTTTTCACTAGAAGTTGTAGATCCAGGTGTCAAGTTAACCTTTGGAGGTGATGAAATCACTGATGGTTTGCCTGTGGTGGTTGATGATTTTGGTTTAACGCCATTCCATTGCACTATTGATGGCGAGTCTTTGATAGTTGGGGCTGATACACGGACTTTGTTTGTCTGGAAGTTAGTAAAATAGATAAACAGGAAACTAAATTATCACTTGTCATTTTTACTTACCAAAGGATCGACCTCAAGCGTTAGATATCTGTACGGTTTTTCAGTTGATGCTGAAATCCCTAAAATATCACTAAGAGACGGCAATCTTGGTGTTGTCAAACTCAAAATATAATCTTTATCATCAATTTTACCATCCAGATTAGAATTTCCTGAAAAGACTTTGTCATTATCTACCACTCCGTCGAAATGACCACGGACAGATACAGTTGCTGGAGTTGCAGGAGTTGCCTAGATCATTGTATGATAAAAATTGGTTAATGTAGTTTTGCTTGTTGAGATTACGTGGCATTTTAGTTTGGACGATTTTCAGAAGTTCGTATTTTAATTAAGAAAGGTGGACGTAAAATATGGTAGTAAGAAATGTGGATTCTGGATTGCATCATTTGGTTGCCTTAATGAAAAAGTTATTCAAATGTAAACTGAGTTTTGATTCACAGATGCTACTTGAGAAGTATTGTTCAGTTTGAATCAGAAATATGGACTTTTAAGAAATTTTTGGTTATTACGGTTAGTACATCAACTGCATTTATTTGTCTGAATTTGAAAAATAGTTTTGAAAGAAAGGTCGATAGCAGTTTATTATACAATGTTACAATGTTGAGGCCTTTTATTTGGAAAGTAATCTACTTGAGTGGCTGTATGATGAAGAAATAAAATTTAGTTTCTAGAAAGTCAAACGTGATATATAAAAGGGTCAACTTATTAGTCAATTAAACAATCAGATCAAATCTCGTAAAAAATATCAGAAAATTATGCAAGTAATAACTGCACCATCTAGAATTTTATTATCATGACATTATTTCTTGTTTGTTTATATGTAAAATACGCCTGATCACACGGCAAATAGATAGACATTTTTCTAGTTTTCAATATTAATTTGGGATTATAGAATAAATGGAGGACTTAGAATTGATCAACAATATGGAAAATTTTGTAAAGAATTTACAGAACATTACATTACATTAGGAACTTTGAACTAAAAGTAGAACTTTACTGATTGCAAAACTTGGAATGTTTTTAGAATGGTTAAAAGAAGTTTGGAGTTGCAAAAGAGGATATACATTATCTTCATAAAATTTTCATAACAAATCATTCGAACTTCCGATCTCTATCCAGTATATTTTATTCACACAGTTTATCTATAAACAAAATTAATTGTTACATATATAATTATATACATAAGTTTTAATTGCAAAAAAGCTTCGTTAAGAAAAAGGCGATCATGCAGAGAAACATGCAATATCATGCACAACAGTGTTATGTACAACAGGAAAAATATTATTTACAATATATACATACACAATTTTTTTATTATATAAAAAATGGCCCATTTTCTAAAACTTAGAATATAAATATAATTTTATTTAACGAAATATGATGGTAAAAAACTGCTAGACAACTGCTAAATTACTTTGATATTTCTTCTTTTTTATTATATTAAAGTGCTTATTATAATACAGTTTGTCATTTGACTGTTTTATCACGTTGGTCTAAATAAATTGATCACAATATTTTCACCATTCACCAAAATAGTGGTGATCAATTCCAGTTTTAGAAATTAGGTCTTTGATTTCCGATTATATACAAGTACTTATAAGATTAATACAACACATTTGGTTTTTGTTATTGGTTAATATTTATTTTATTAATATATTATACACATTTGTTATTGTTGTTAATAATAGTCCTGGAACATCGTTATGTAGATGTTTTGTGATCACGTGATGTATTGACATATATAATTTATCAACAATCAGTTAATAATAGTAGTAATATTATAATAAGTAACATTTATATTTGGTATCGTTTTTTGGTAAAAATATGTTATTGGTAAAAAATGTGAATACGAGGTCTGGAACAACATTATGTAGATGTTTTGTGGTCACGTGACGTATCGACATATATAATTTATCAACAATTAGTTGATAATAACAATATTATTATAATAGAAAACATTTATATTTGGTATCGTTTTTTTGGTTGTGTTTGGTAAAAAATTGAATACGATTTGGTATTTAGGTTCAGGCACTAATTATTTGTAATCTTCTGGTAAGCTTCACCAAAGCGATATTTTTCTGAAAATGTATAATTTCTGCTCATAAGGATGCTTTTGTTTTATAACAGACTAATCATCTAAAGTTCTTCCCGAAGTTCTATATTTATTTAGTATATGTATGCTTAGAATCAGCACTAAAGTCTTTGCCAAAATCAGGACTTTTCTTACCTTGATATTGATTTTTACCAAAAAAACAGGATACTTTCGAACCTTGGTTTGCCAAAAATAATGATAGAGGAGACGTCGACTTAGATCAAATCTCGGAAAAACTGGCAGAAAATTAATTTGGGTTTATAGAATAAATTGAGGGCTTAGAATTGATCAAAATTGTGTTAAATTTGAATCTAATGGAAATTTGTATACAATATGGAAAATTCTACAAATAATTTTACTGGACTCTGAGGAACTTCGAACTATTAGTAGAACTTTACTGATAGTAGAACTTTGTGACCTTAACAAAATAGTACACTATGACCATAGATAGTACGGTCAGTTAATAAATAGACTTTAAAAACTCTGTTTTAAGCCAACAAATTGATCCTACGACCAAAAAATTATTGGTTTTGCATTTAGACCTTAGACCTAGTGTGACAACCTAAAGAAAGGCTATTTTTGGGAATTAAAAAAAACTAGTGAATCCATCTATTTAGAATTTTTTGAGGTCATGTATCACAGTAAAATTTTTGGAATAAAATATTAAATATTTTTGAAATGACACGCGATATCCGGCGGCGCCAAAAAAAAGGTCCTCCACTGCTGGAGTGATTGCAGCCTTCTCTGTTCATAAAACCAAAAAAAATAATTTTTTGAGAAGCTCAAACATATTGTCTTTACGATGACCCTCGGACGAACAAAAAAATAAAAAATTGACTAAATGGCGGCATTTTGAAAAAGAGTTAAATTTTTCCCAAAACATTGGTCGCTTTTGGCTTGCCAAAATTAAAGGTATAACCTATTGAAATATGGAAATAAATAAAATTTGATTTTTTGAAAATTTCACACTAGGTGTGCTTATTAAACTGTAAATTTACTTGTCGATTTATTAGATGCGTGCTGACCTTGTATTCACATTTTTTACTTACCATCAGCCTCCAGTTTTATTATGGAGCTTCACAATTATCTTAAACCTAAGAATACGTTTTAACTTACAATTAAGCGTTATTAGTTCAGCATTTAGCGACATACATTTACTTCCCGAGTTAGGATATTAATTGCACTAAATCTAATACCGTTATTAAACCAGCATGGCCGAGCAATATCTTGTCATTCGCATCCAAGGATTTCGAAAAATCTTCCAAATTGCTGCTTCTAACTAAAATATCTATCAATTGCCCACCAAGTAGCAGTTTGTTAGTTGCTTTTCTGACTAAGGCTTCAGTTATACTGTCTATTTGCTTATTTACATTATTTTGCTTTATTACTGTGCTGGAATTGCTCTCCGAAACCATTTCTGCGTGGATGTTAAGGCTGGTTGTGTTATTGTTGTCCTCTAAAGTTTTGGGGTTTCTAAAATCACCTTTGGAGTTATCTATACCACTTACTAACTTGGAATCGGTTTCTTTGATTATATTTACATTACTAAATTTGTTACTATTGTTAACGTTATTTGTTACTTCTAGGTCTAATTTTACTGGTGACTCCGAAGTTACTGTTTTGTTATCAATAAGTTCATCACCTTTGGAGTTGCCTAAATTATCTATACCACTTACTAACTTGGAATCGGTTTCTTTGATTATATTTACATTACTAAATTTGCTACTGGTGTTAACGTTATTTGTTACTTCTAGGTCTAATTTCACTGGTGACTCCGAATTTACTGTTTTGTTATTAACAATTTCTGTGGTTATTATTTCAGTAATGACCTCCACTACAATTTCAGTAGCTGAAGTTGAGTTTTGGTTACTACTGGGTTCTGTACTATTTACTAATGCAACTTTAGTAACGTTATCATAATTTGAGTCAAAATTATTTGTATTATTGTCTAAAGCTAATTTGGCATCTAAAGTAGACTTCGAGTCAACAAAGTCATTTTCTACCATTTCCTCATTAATACTATTTGCTGTGCTTGTTACATCAGACTCTTGATCCTTGTCAGATTCAAAAGTTCTAGATGTAATATTATTGGTTTTGGTGCCGTCGTTTTGCGTTTCTACAAAATTATTCCCAGTCTGTTCTCTAACCCTATTTCTAAGCTTTTCGTACTCATTCATCCTGATCAAATCTGATAATTCCCAAGGTTTGACATCTAAAACTCTTACCGATGTATCGATATGGCGAACCACGGTTCCGTTCGGAAATCTTTTCACGATTGTGTTATTTGGCAGGATGGCGTAGACTATCAGTTGTTCTTCAGAATCTACGTCCAATTGGTCGTGTATTGGAATTTTGTTCTCGGCAGGATCTTTTTCAACGACTGTGCTGTTGGGTAGAATTCCATAAATTACGTAATCGCGTTTTGGAGCTACTGTTGAACTTTGGGTACCAAAGGGTGCAAATGTTGCACGATTGGTGTCTTGGAATCTTGCTCTATAAGTTGTAGTTGTGAATGAATTCGTTGTGAAAATATTTTGTTCCTCAATAATGTTATTGGTTCTTGGTGATGAAGTTGGAACTACTGTAGAAGACTGTACTTCTATATTTTTGCTGGTTGTTGAAGTAGTTTCTTGCTTGTTATCTAAACTCAAAGTTTCTTCAGAATCTAACATTTTTGATGGAAGGTATTTATTCGAACTTGACAAAGTTGTGGCTTCAGTACTTGAAACTTGTTGCGTTGTAGTTTCTTGCTTCTTCTTTAATTTTTCTGAAGTATCAGGGTATGCAGTGGATGTAGTTGTACTTTCCGCATCTACAACTAAAGAATCTTCTGTATTCTTTATATTTAATTTTGATTCATAAACCAAGGTTGTTGTGCTTGTATCTGAATTGGAAGTTGTAAGTTTTAGATCTGTTTTCGAATTAAGTTCTTCAATTGTTTTTGATTCATAAACCTTCGCAGTTGTGCTCAAGCTGGTTGTCGTTGTTTCATCTACAGAGATGTTTGCTAAAGATTTTTCTGATGTCCCATACTGCTCTAGTATAGCTTGGATAGATTGTCTAACTTCTTCACCAACTCTATTATTAACATCAGTTTTCTCCACTTTTGTTAAAACAAATTCTGTCGTCGTCTGTACAGGTTCAAGTTCCAAAATATTTACTTTACCAGTTGTATAAGCGACAACTGTCGATGATTGATTCTCCAAATCATCTACATTTGGAATATCATTCTCAGTTTTAGTTTTCGGCCGAAAAACTGGTGAAATCCTTGCTGGTAAATGAAAGTTGGTATGTTGTGGAAAATACGTGGTAGACTCTGGCAGATTTGAAGGTGTCACTATTATAAATTTAGAATTTGATTGGTCAGATTGAGACAGAGTTGTTTTGTGCATCAAATTGTTTTCTGTGGTTGCCTGTTTTTGGCTCTGGTCAAGATTGTTTGGACCAACAGAATTTGATAAAGATTTTGCTGTTTTATTTTGATGTTGGGTGCGTTCTAGAAGTAGTCTTTGGAGCGTACTGAATCTATCTTCTTCATCTTGATCAAATTGTTTTGTTGAATCTTCAGTAATGGATGAGGTTTCTGGGTTGTGTAAAATTTCAGTTGTGGGCAAAATTTCATCTGCAAGTTTTGTATTTTGCTCGTTATTTATGGAAACTGGCGTGGTGGTTTCAGTACTTGTTTGCGGACTTGTTTCAGTGGTAAAAGGCGTTGTACTAGTTGCAATATTATTAGTTGTTGACGAAATTTCAGATGTTGACGAAATGTTTGCTTCTTCTAATTTGGATATAGCTGTTGTGGTACTGGTTGTAATTTCTTGACTAGTAAAATTAGATTTATTGAATTCTTCTTTGCTGACTGCAAAAATATTAGCAATCTCTTCTTCGTCTTTAGAATTACTGGTATCAGTTTCCAAAGTGCTTATTTTTTGGTCAGTCACCAATACTATCTTAGTTGTAGTAGTCTCAATAGATTTTGCTGTGGTGCTTACAAGTTTTGGATCATCAGTTTTTTCTGTGGTTGTAGTAGTCACGAACTCTGTAGTTGTTTTTGGTGAGTCTGTACTGAATGACACTTTCTCGAATATTTGGTCTTCATAACTTGCATCAGAGTTCTGAGAAACAGTTTTATCTTTAGCAAATCTTTGTTCTACATTTGTAGTCGAATTTAATTCAACCGAAGTTTTAATATTGTTTTCTTCATTTGGAGAAGGTACTACAATGTTGTTCTTTGGTGTTCTCGTAAACGGTGTGGCTGTAATTTCAGTCACAACCCTTTCTTCAGTTATAGTTTCATACTTTTCTCTTCTGAAGTTTGAAAGGAGTTGTGACAATATTGCTACTCTGTCCAAAAGTTCTTGCTGGGAGGACGTCAAGGTTGTAACAGACTTTTCTTGCAATGATTTTCCTGATCTTGAAGATTCTGCTGACACTGTAGCACTCGGAGAAGTTGAGCTTTCGGTTTTTGATAGTTTGTCTTCTTCATCCTCAGTTTGATTTCTGGTTTCAATTGCTGCCACTTTCACTGAACCGTTCTTTTCAATAAAATTTGTATTATTTTTGATCGGCAAATAACCGCGAGATGATGAGATTTTGGTGCGTGAAAAGGTGCTCTGTGCATCTTTGATGATAGGTGCTCTACTTGTGGAAGACTGTGCAGAAGAAGTTCCAGTGGGTAGTTTTCCATCCGTCTGGAAACCAGATTCGGACTTCAGATTCAAAGAATTGGAATGGATTTTATTGATGGTATGAGGTACCGAATTCGGTTCTAGTGATGAAGGGGTAAGATACACGACCACAGTGGTTTCTTCGGGTTTGGAAGTAACTTTACCCAAAGATTCGATTACATTAGTTTTGTTTGCGTCTTGTGATGATTTCAAGTCGTTTTGTACATTGTTAGTAAGAAGTATGTCTGATGTTTTAGTATCGTCAATAGGGTGCGATGGATAGATAGCCACGATTTTAGTCGAGTTTGAATTAGTCAGAGAGTGCTCAGAAAATGATGAATTTGTGATTAAGTTAGTCATAGTGTCGAGTCCGTTTGGTGGTACCTTGTTATTGTCACTACTAGTGGTCGATATTTTGGCAGTAGTTGTACTTTGCGTCAGTATTTCGGACAGGGCACCAAAAATAGACACGGTGACTGCTGCATTGCTCTGGGCCGATTTGGTGACGTCGACTTCTTCCACGGACAATCTGCTGGCGGTCAGTCTGTTTGGCGGGGCTTCGTATTGGTGGTGCCTCGGCGATGAGGAACCATGGTCCTTGGAGGTCGTCGGGAGGTTTTGGAAGTGCCGAATTCGTGTCTGAAAAAAGGGACGCCGCGCGCGAATCGAGTTGGCTGATGTGAATTCAAAGGTTTGGTAAAGGTTGGTCGGATGATGATTGAAAATGATAAGCATGATTTTTATGATGGTCGATTTACTTACTTGCATAGTTGGGCATATAAATTTATGATATACACACTAAAATATTATGATATGTGCAAAAATTATTACAACGTGACATTTATGATGGTACTATTTTTATTTTCTTACCAGTTTGTGCCTATAAAAGTATAAAGAATGAAAAGTTTATTTTACGAATTCTGTAAAAAATATTTCAAGTTAAGACAAGCTTACTTGGCAGTGTCACAACTATTCTATATTGTTTTTAATTTTTGTAACCAATTTTCAGCAAAAAAGTGTTTTATCAGATTTGAATCATTGTGAATACATGCTTCCTATTTTATAAATCTAAAAGCAATAATATTTAATTTCTATGCTGTGCAGATATTTATTAAAAGAAACGATTTAATAAAATTGAAAAATAGTGAACAAAATTTAGTTAATAAATAAATAAGGAATAAATAAAGTGAAAAAGATGTTGAGTAATGCTAACAAAATTTAGTAATTAAATAAACAAATGGAAAAAGCAAGTAAGCACTAAAGCGTCTAGAATAAATATATGCAAGTTAAGTTTAAATTAAAAAAAAGATTAATATATTATTATATTAATTTTTGTTATGAGTCGCACTAGAATTTTTTACGCAGTTTTTTGGTATTTTACTTGATTTTGGTATATATATACTAGTTGACCCGGCAAACGTTGTGTTACCATATAAGGTATTTGTGAATAATTTCTAGAGAATCCAAAAATTGTCATTTCAAACATTTTAAAAAAGTTGTTATTTTCAGTTTTGAGTTGTGAGTAATAACACTTGCTAGCCGTTTAGTAATGTTTTTGCGTATAAATAAAACTACTTACTACAATATAAATAATATTCATCTGAAACATCCTATTAAATTTAATTGAACATTATCATTTTTATTTACGTTTTCACAAAAAATTCAAGTTTTTGCGCGGTTTTGAAATAATATCTCACCTTTCGCACAATCTCTGGATTTTTACGAATTTTTCAAGACTAAGACTGGCCAAATCGGTTAACATTTTGTCGAGTTCTATTTTTATATATAAGATATACGAGATGTGTTCAAAAAGTACCCGGAATTACTAATAATTAAATTTCGCGGGTCTGGAGTGTCTGATTGTCAAAATTTTTTTTTTATTGTGTTGGTATACATGCCCCTAAAGTATGATGAAATTTTCAGCTATATTCACTGTTTACTTTGTCTGTGGTAGTCGCTAAGGTTCGACGTGTTTTTCTGAGCTCGGCGATTTTTACAATGGAAGAATTGAAAAGTCAAAGAATTTGTATTAAATTTTGCGTAAAAAATGAAATAAAGTGTTGCAAAGTGCAAAAATTCACCAGATATGGCTCCGTGTGACTTTTTCCTATTCCCAAAGTTGAAGAGACCCATGAAAGAACGGCGGTTTTCCTCGATTGAAGAAAATCGCCGAGAGTGCTCTAAGACATATCAAAAAGTGAATATCAAGGGTGCTTCGAAAATTGGAAAAAAACGCTGGCATAAGTGTATTATATCTGGGGGGGACTACTTTGAAGGGGACCACATTAATGTAGACGAATAAATAAATATTTTTTTGAAAAAACGAAAATTCCGGGTACTTTTTGAACAGACGTAAAGAGAGATTTTCGTTTTTTTTTCGAGCATTTAATCCAAAATAATAAAAAAATAGTAAGTTTTTTCGTAGACATTTAATTTTAACGATTGGAAACTAGATAAGTTTCATTTATGGCAAAAACATTTTTTTATTCCTAATATTCTTTAAACTCCGAAAAAGAAATTTTCATATAAATTTTATTGTCCATTCTTCATTGAATTATAAATTCAAATTATTCAATAATGTAATTGCAACAAAATATGTTTCAGACAGAAAACCTGATAATAGAACGTATCGAAGTTTCGAAAAGTCGTGATTAAATAAGTAATTAACTGTTTTTTTTTTAAAAAAATTTCAGAACTACTTAAATCAATTTATTGAAAAATCTAAAAATTCATCTGAAAATTTATTTTTTAATAACAAGAAAAGATAAAGTTATTTTTGAAAGAAATTTTGTAAGTCTTTTATATGTTTCGAATCCAAATTTAACTCATCTTCAGTGAGTAAAACCACAAAACATAATATAAAAAATAAATGATATTTATTAAGGCTAAGATACTAATTCAAATGAAATTATTAATTAAAAAAATTATTAATTAAAAATTAATAAATAAAATTATTAATTATAAATTTTTGATCACGTGATCATAAATTTATAATTAATAATTTTTTGATAATTTTAGCATCAAGGGTCTTCAAAAATTTTAACTCGTATACTTAAATATTTAAACAAAAGATATTAGAACTAATATGGTGGTTTATGAGTAACAAATATATTCTTTAGAAAAATATCGAAATTATTTTATCATCCATATAAGGGTGCAATCCCATAGAATCTAAAGCAAAGTTACCCAGGTGCAAAATAAATATCTATCAGAATTTGTTTATAAAAAATATCACAAATTTGTATCACTGAAATTGTACCTAAAAATTTAAATGTTAATAACGATGATGTTATCAGCGCCCTGTCTAATAATCATTTATTGTATTCCAATTCCGTCTGCGAGCAATATATCAATATTTCCATAATCGATGCAACGAAATCGTGATGAAATAAAAAGCCAAGCATTAATTTAACATTTTGTTTATATGCAAATCAATGAATATATGTATAATAATTTGATTTATAATTATATTATATAATTAATTTAATTATGTAATAAACAAACGAACCGCACAGTTACATGTATATATATTGTGGCTACACCCGGTCGGTTGCCATGTTCGCATTCTTAGCATAGTTTTGAATAATTTTAAGCTGCCTTATTTCAAATTCCTAGGAATTAATGTAATAAATGGTTTTGCATGTGTGTAGTAACTAGTTTTAGCTATGCAGCTACTTTCACTGTAATAGGTGTGTTGGACGTTCTATATGTTTTATACGATCATCGACTTCTGTACGCAAAATTTCAATCAGGAAATTAATTGGTTTAGTACAGGGAAAACTTACAGGAATAATTACTTACTTATAAATATAAACAATTATATTTTGCCTTAGAAGGACTAAGGGCAGATTTTGCGAGAGAACGCTGCTGACTTGACTTGTAGAAGAAATTTACAAAATGTTATATTTGCACTATATCTCGTGTGAATTAGAGACATGGACTATGAAAGGACTCTACTGACGAGCAAACTAACTCCCGAAATGAAACAAAACAAAGTATCTATTTTGTCGATCCTTAGGTATTATAATAAAAAGAAGCAACGATTGAAGTTCTAAAAGTACAAAGGGAGGAAATGAGCATAAATTCAGGTTCCAATTCCCAGAATAAAATAATTTTTTGTTAATGGTCTTTTTGTGGAGTAATCGCATGAGTCAGTATCAGTAGTCATTCTAAAATCTGTTTTAAAAATATCCATAATTATATTGTGCCTTACAAGGAGGACCCGCGCATTGCTCGTCTGGGATTTTGATGAAATTTGGCACAATGGTACATTTTATGCCCAAACTGATCGTGGTAAAATATTAGAGGTCTATGAAAAGCCCGTGAAAAGGAGTAAAGTCAGATTTTTCGAGAGCAGGGCAACTTCCCAAAAAAGACTGCTGCTGGTTAGACTTGTAAAAAAAATTTATAAAATACTACATTTTCAATATGGCTCTGTATGAATTAGAGACATGGACTTTGAAAAAAGGGACTCTACTAACGAGCAAACTAACTCCGACATCAGAACAAAAGAGACGAAGCTAGAAGTTCTTAAAGTGCAAAGGGAGGAAATGGGCATAAATCCAGGTTCCAATTCTCAGGATCAAATAATTTTTGATTACCAGTCTTTTTTGTGGAGTAATCGCATGAGTCAGTAGTCATGAACTCTTTAGTCTTTGCTGTTCGATTTGCACTATATCAACTTCTAAAACCTAACCTCCAAATGGCACAAAGTCAGAGAGAACATTAGTTCGTCCTCAGGCGTGTGTTGTAAAGTAACAACAAACTCAGGGGGCGTCCATAAATCACGTGAGATTTTTAGGGGTAGGGGGGGTTGATAAAAAAAACTAAATATTACATGGAGAGGGGGGGTTCAGTGAGATATCACGTGTATTTATTTTGTACATATTTTTTTTAAATCCAAACATTTTCAAAAATATAAAAAAAATTAAAATTTTTTCTCATAACCTAAAATACACGTGATGTTTGGTGGCGGAGGGGGAAAAATTTGAATATCACGAAGTATCACTCAGGGGTATCCAAAAATTCTTCAAAAATCGATCACGTGATATTTTTTTTTAATAAATCCTAACATTTTTAAAAAAATAAAAAAATTTACAATTTTTTTTCGTAACTTAAAATACACGTGATGTTTGGTGGAGGAGGGATGGAAATTTTGAATAATCCTTCAAAAATCTATCACGTGTTTAATGGACGCCCCCTTACGATAATATTGGTATTTGATTGCCATTTGGAGGTTAAGTTTTAGTAAAGACATAGTTTTCTGACTGTTTGTGACTATCAACTCATAATAACTCATAATTATTTTATCCCGAGGATTGGCCCATAAATGTTTGCATTTTTAAGATGCTGGTAATAAATCAATTGAAGGATCCAATAAGATATTAGATAGACTATACCTCTCGCTTTTCGAACATGTTTTTAATTAAAAAATTGTTAACGTCATTAAAATAGACTTTATTTTTTTTCAATTGGATGGGAAAGAGTATGCGATTCCTCAAGAAATTTTGTCGTACAATAGCCGATAATTTTTTTTATTCTACCAAATTCAAAATTAAAATGCTTGTCTCTTACAAAACAATCGAAAAATCACAAATTCCGAATATACGATAGTTTTATCGTATGAACTCAACTTATGATTTTCGATGCCATAACCTATATTTATATCTATCGTATACAATATACTGGTTGATAAAAATAAAATATATAAATAGTAGTAAGTACTAAATGTATAAAAATATTTACTAATACTATATACAAGCATTTTATGTATGATATTGTAAAAATTTCAATTTTACTAAATATCATTCATGCTTTAATTGAAACGTTCGCAAAATTATAATGATTGTCAAATTGAAAACGAAATTTTGAAAAATGAAATTAGATAGAAAATTGTCAGGGGTTGAACCACTATAACTTCCAAATTAAGGTCGATCAGATCCTTGTATTCGTTTGATAGCAAAGATTTTATCTTGACAAATAGATAATTGGGGAATCAGTAACTAAATTATTAAAAAAAATTGATAGGATGATCTTTTGAGGTTGCCCATTTGTGATTTCGAATTTTTTGGCTCCTGAATATATGGATTCTGCTGGATTCATTAATACATCTGTTTTCTATCCAATTGTCCAGGAAGTTGAATAAAATCTTTTGCAAGGATTCAGGTTTCGAATTTTTAAGGATCCTGATTTTTGTTCTCCAGAATCATGAACTCCTCGAATAAAAATGTTCTTGATTATCCAATTCTCGTGATCAAGAAATTGCATGTTGGAAAAAAATGGTGTAGAATTTCTTAGATATTTTGTCAAAGTAGTTATATTTGTCTTGGGAATTTTTGAGGTCTGTCCAGGATTGTGGATATTTTAATTTATAAGGATCCTGGATTCTCCAATTATCAAGATCCCTGATTTGCAAGTTATAGAAATTCAAAAACCGCCAATAAAGATTTTTTTTGTCTAAAATGATTAAAATTTTTGCCAATTTGTCGAAACAAAATGATGCTGATGGCTTTTTAATTATCAGATTTGGTGAATTTAGAAAATAAATTTTGGTTTGATGAATGAATTATAAATGATGCTGATGGTAAATTGTTTTTTTGGCAATTTGTATATATCTTGATGTTCCAAACACAAATCTGTTAGCGGGGATTTTAAAAGTGAAAAAACTGACTATAATTTTTCCAATTATCCATGTTTTTGTTAGTAGAACTAAATTACTTGTTGTTGCATGTTTTTTAGTTATAACACCTCATTACAACATAAACTTTGCAAATTTGCCAAAAATCACAGTGATGTGTTTAGAACATCAAAATATATGCCATAAATCTACCATCCCATGATTTGATGATATTTATTATGATGATCTCGTTTTTTTCTGTCGACGTTGACGATGATGATTCAACGGTAGTAATATGGTTCTGGTGAATGATGATGCTTCTGATATGACCATGACAGTGGTATGACCCCATCATTGGCATAATCCGAAACTGAATTTGCACCCAAATGATGTTGAGATGATGTTGCGGATGTATGATGGCGAATTACCCAATCCCAGCTCAAGGCCTGATCGATTATGGGAAATTAGAACAAAAATTAAATGGAGATCCATTTCGGATGCAAAATGTGCAGGGGTGTATGATACAAGGTGATGCCGGCGTCAGACGAAGCACATTTCTCCAGTGATAAATAGTTATTGATAGTAATGAATGTCAGGCCAATATTTTTATGTAAAAGTTGTTTTTTTATGCTGATGGAAATGTTATGGCGTATGACGCCGGCATTAGTGCTTTGGATGGTGTTGGTGCAACTGATATTGACACTATACTTAAGATGATTATTATTAATTCTGTGATTATATTTGATATCATGAGCATAGATCTTTTTTTAAAAGATTTATGCCTTAATTATGGTTTGACTGATATCTAGGCTTATTATTGAACAATCTTTTTCTCTTTTCATAATGGAGAGAATAGGTTGACGATTTTATTTGCGTTTTGCTCTCTTTTTAGCAAAAGAGTAATAAATTGTAAAAATTAAGTAAAAACTTAAGAAGATTATTAATAATTCTGTGCTTATTTTTTCCTGAACATAAATCTTTTTTAAAGATTTATGCCATAATTATGGTTTGATTGATTTCTGTGATTATTATTGAACAAACTTTTTCTCTTATCATAATGAAAAAATAAGGTTGACGATTTTATTTGCGTTTTGCTCTCTTTTTGGCAAGAGATTAATAAAATGGCTGTGTAAGCCAAGAATAGGTCCTTATTTTGTTTGAAATAAATTAAGATAATTTGGTCGATTTTACTATTTGTTACATCTTAAGAGTAAAATTGATTTGTAGATTTAATTTAATCTTAGTAGTATAATGCCTAGGCATACTTATAAAAGAGTAGGTGCAGTATACCAAATAAATTTCATTAAAATATCTTTCAATCATATTTCTATAAATAGATACGTTTTTTTGTTAATCTCGCTGTCTTTCTTTACTAATCGCTTAAGGCAGCGTTTTCCAACCTGTGGATCGCATTCATTAATTATGTGAGGCTTTTCAGGAGAGGGGTGTTCGACAAAAAATCACAAAATATCACAAGGGTAAGGGAGGGGATTTTGATTATCACCAACGGGGAGGGGGTCTAAATACCTTTAAAAAGTCGATCACGTGATTAATGGACGCCAACTCAAGAGGCGCGTATGACACTTTACAAAATACTATTTTCGATATAATAATAATAATAACCCAAAAATTTTGAATTAATATGAAAAATAAATGAAAAAATAATTCTATTTTGTGCATATTCTTACATAATATTCCATATTAATTTGTAGTTTGATAATATCAATTGAGTATTTATGAAATAAAATTATTGAAAAAATTAACAACATTTTTTTTATTAGATCGGGGGGGAGCGCGGTGCGAAAAAGGTTGGAAACCACTGGCTTACGGTCTTTAATCTTTGAAGATAATATTGTTAAAGTACAAAATTTGAAATAATTTTTCGACATGTTCAAAAAAAAAACATTCAAAAAACTACACCAAATTCTTCAATTATCGTTAAATATTTAAATTAACAATAAAAGTTAATTAAATTTAATTATATTTAAAAATATTCTAAATGGCTGAGCGTATTCATATGCTTATCACAATCATTCTAAAATACTCTCGTACCTTTTTATTCATCATTTTTGCTAAAACCTGGCAACAACGCGAAATAAAACTATTAATCAAATATTGTTGGTAAATTAGTAGGCAATTAAATGCTAAACAATGGTTGGCTTTTTATACAAGACAACAGACCGGCGTGTATTAAAAATGGTATTGAACGCAACTTATCTTATCAAATGTTTTATTTTCTTTCAAGTAAGTCTTAAGGGAAATGTGTTTACTGTTTTTAATTATATAATGATGACACACATTTAGCGCCGAAACGTCCATAAATCTTTAGTATTTTATGTGGACTTGCTGACAATTACTGGTGTTTCTCTATTATTGAAAAGTTGAATTTTCAAAATATTTAAACTCTATACCCTGACGATGGAACATATCTAATTCCGAGAAGTCAAAACAAAATAGCAAATTTTATTTGAGAACTTTTCATTCTCCTTAGTTTTACGAAATGGTCTACTTTTGCATAGAATGCTTCTCGAAGTTTATATGAAGTCCGTTTCATCATAAAACAAATATTTAAGAAGTTAATAAATTTGACGTGAAAAATCTAAATTCTAAAAAATCTCTATATACTATTTCTAGTCAGCGGTAAAAGCTTTTAGATTATAAAAATTAGTTCTTACCTTTGTGGGTCTGACGGTCGGGACTGTCGGCAAGTAGTTGGGAGGAGGATCTCTAACTGAAGTGACACGAGATGTCACACCAGCTGATGATGTCACGGATGCCCTTTGACGCGCCAGGAATTGTTTGACGGATTTCTAAAAAAGACCAGGAATAAAATTATTTGTTGAAAATAAGATAATAGAAGCAAAAAAGCATGAACCAAGATAAAATAGGATCAGTTTACGTATAAAATTTGTAGTTTCTTGTTAGAGGATCAACCAAAGATTTATGGGGAAATTCTGCCGTAACAGAGCTATATGTAAATACGCCTGATCGTCCAGCAAATAGATAGACATTTTCATAATGTTTACTACCAAGAACAAGCATAAGAAGGCGTTACCATGACAACGCTATTTTATGAGCTCTGTTGCGGCAGAATTGCCCCATTAATTGATTTTATTGAACCGAAAACGAAGCTTATAAAATAATCTAAATTCTTGTTACGACAACTGATATACTTTCTTCAAATTCTTGTTTTTTCATTTTGTTATAGTTTTTTAGTGTGAATGATCTACTGAAGTTTTAATTTATCTTACCGTGGGTAAGTCTTCAAAATTAGTTCTTTGGGCAATTAGTTGGTGTTTGCTCAAAACATTTTGGCTCTCAGTAGTGGTTGGTGGAGCTGTTTCTGATTCTTCTTTCTTTTGACCATTCAATGAATTGTAGACACGATTATTTTGGCGACTTCTGGAGTATTTGTCTGTTGGTGGTTTTGGACGATATGCACGGATTTTGGGCTGGGGCAAATTATCTCTGAAAAAAATTACATAATAAAGGCAAGGTTGATATAATTATGTACTACTCTATAATTTGAACTGTAGAGATACTGAGACAATCCTATAACTCGGATAAAATATGGGTAATAAAAGATAATATATATTTTGCCCGTACCTTGAGTCAGAAGTTTTGTGAACTGTCGTTTGTTCCGATGGACGAACAGTGGTAACACCTGCAACAATAAAATAATATAAATATTTTTTGCGAACTTCACATCCAATCAAATTATTATCTTACGTGCTGATTCAATTTGTTCCGCAATAACCGAGGTTACAATTTCAGTAACAGGCTTTGCAGTAGTCGTCGTGTGACGATTTCTTGATCCCAAACTATTCCTCAAACTGGGAAACACAACTTTATCTCCACCACTTTTGGTTTTACCAAAACTTGTTCTGGTTTTAGCTCCATCTTTGTCTACAGTTTTATCATCAACAACCTCCTTCGAATATACTTTCGCAGAATCGATCCCAATTGCATCTGCAACCTCGCTGGAACTGTCTGACAGTTCCTTGGAAGTCTTTTCTTTGGACATAAATTTTCTGGTGCTTTGAGGAAATTTCGGTCTGAACCTTGTAGTTGTTTTACCAGTGCTGACTGATGTTTTGACTTCAACCCTTTCACTTGTTTTTGGAGACGAAGATTTAATATCCTGGATTTTTATGCGGTCTAAGTTATCTATTGAGGAGATTTCTACAGAATCTGCAAAATATTTTGGAGTTGTGTGGTGCTTGATTTTTTCTGTAGTTGCAGCTGGTTTGTCCAAGTCGCTTTTGTTGTTTGGTTTTGAAGGTTTGCCTTTGTTTTTGAGTATAAGCTGTCGGAAATGTTCAGGGTAATTGTCGTTTTCGTTGATTTCGTCGTCTTCATCGTTTTCGGTTTCCAATTTAGACTTGGTAACGCCTCCTCTATCTGAAATTCAAACAAATGAGTAACTTAGTTGTTCAAATGATACAGTTTTCAGTCAATTATCTACCTGAAGATCTGGTGGTACGTTCTAATTTTGCAGTAGTAGTCAACTGTGCAGCTGGTTCTAATGTTTTACTGGTGCTAGCCACGGTGCTTTCTGGAACAGGTTTCAAAGTAGTAGTTGTCGTCTGCACAGTTTTTTCAGTAGTTTCCAATATTTCATTCAGAATCGGTTTCGTCACTGGTTTTTCTGTAGTTGTTCTATCAGTCGTGATACTCGTAACAGTTGACACAGTAGTTGAAGAAGATGCTATTAGCTTCTCCTCGAATATTTCATTAGATGTAATTTTGTTTCGTCTACGATTGGCTCGAGGAAGTATTGTGGTCTCTTGGATTTTTGATGATTTTTGCCTCTCGCGACTTGTTGATCGGTTCGTTGAATTCTCGTTGGAGCTTTTGGGTTTTTCTTGAGAACGAGAACGTACTGTAAATCTTTGGACTTCCTCTTTTACTGCATGCCTTGGACCTGAAAAACGAATTTTGATAATACTGACTCGAAAACATTTTCGGATTATATATCAATACCTGAGTTTCTTTCCTTTGAGTTAACTTGTATACTTTCTTCCTTCGATTCTGACGACTTGCTTCGACCTCTGACAGCACTCTGCCGAGATTTGAGTTTAGTTTCTGCTGATACATCCTTAGATTTTTCTTGAACTTCTGGACGTCTTCTTGATCTGGCAGTGGTAGCGTCACTTTGAGTTCTGCTTCTAAAAATTTGTTCCCTGGATGAAGAAGTTTCTGTAGTAGATTTGTCTTCGTATTTGGACCTACTGCGAATCGTAAAATTTTTGGTTCGTGATGCTTCTGTTGATTCCTTTGAGGTTTTGTCAGGCACGTTATTAGATTTAATTGATCCACGAGATGAGGTACGTCTTTCTGGTTTTCTTAAAACGTTTTCATCCTCCGAGGCTTCTGCAATGTATCTGCTTTTAAATCTGGTGCTTTCACCACGTCTTACAATGTTTTTTTCAGTACTTGCTGGAAGTAAGGATATACGTTCTGCACTATCTTGTTTAGGCTTAGAGTTATCTTGATACCTACTTCTTGATCTTATGGTACGCTCCTTTTTAACATTACCCAGTTCTTCTTCATACCTATCAATTTTATCTGTAGATACAGGTTTTCTTTTAGGCACTATAACCGTTTCAGATTTTCTGCTAGAAGAAGATTGCAAACTTTGTCTCGCTGCAGATGGTTTACGTAAGATTTCAGAATTTTGAGGTTCATCATAATTTTCCAAAGCTTCTGCAATATTTCTTGCAGGATAGGATCTTGATCGTCCACGGTTCAAGAATAATTTTTTGGTAGATGTTTCAACAACCTTGTAGCTTTCAGTGGGTACTTCTTTTACTGCTTTTTCTAAAGTACTTCTGCGTGCATTGTTACTGAGTCTTGAAGTAACTTCTAATGGTGTTTCACTACTTTGAACTATAAATTTGTCAGGAACACTCGTTACTGGATGTTCTGTTGTAAACAGCGGTATTCTATCTGCAGACTTGGTAATGCTTTCTGGTTTGAAATTTTTGATAATATCTTCTTTTTGATCGCTACCAGGATAATAGAACAAATGATGATTGGGTCTTGCATCTACCAAATCCTCAGTGACTTCGTATATTGTATCCTGCCTTCTGATATCTTGAAATTTAATACCATGTCTTGAAATAGATTGTTGGTTTGTTTTCCGATGCGAAGTGGTTTCAATTGGTATGTCAAGTTGTCTATGTTCCTTCAGATTTTCATTTTGTTTTTGTGCCCTGACAGTACCTCTACGTCTTGGTGCAGGTTCTACTATATCTATATCCAACTTTTTATGATTTCTTCTATCAGAAAGTGAAGTGGTTTCTTTTTGTATCCTATCATTTTCTAAAAATCTGTGTTGTCTGGTGTTCGGTTGCTTTAAAGTGTCTTTCATGTATGCTTGTGGTTCTTCTTCATTTTTAATAGCTGATGGACTCGAATTATCAGAACTAGTTCTCGTATTTACATCAAGATGTGATTTAAGCTGATTTTCTGCTCGTGTTTGTGGTTCTTGAACTATTTCTTTTGATTGATTTTTTAAAGACTCGCTTATATCAGTTTTGGTTGGTTCTATATTTATTGGTTCCAAAATCTTCTTGCGTGTATGGATGGGATAAGTTTGGTAATCATCAGCAGTCGGTTTAACTATATCTGAGTACGAAATTGGTTTTGAAACTTTATCAAAACTTGAGGTATCTTGATTGTTTCCAAATGTTAGAACATCATGATTCGGTACTGGTGTATTTTTATGATTCTGATCATTGCCTGGATCGGATCTAGGTGTATTTGGTCTTGTTATTTTACATTTGGAGAAGATCTGGCACTTGGTTCATAACTACTGGCTTTGTGTTTTGAATTGCTCAGGTCATCTTGGGACGATCCAAAGGTTATTACATCAAAATTTTGTGCAGGTAAAGATTTACCAGGTTGTTCATGACTAGAACTGATTCTCGTACGTATTGGTCTTGCATATTCTAATCTTGGTGCAGAATTTTCTACAACAGGTCTGGAAGTTGGTTCACGTTGATTGTGCTTTTGTCTCGGAGACTCTTGAGTTTGGATGATTTTTGGTTCTTTTCTGACATTTTGTCTAACTGAATCTGGATTTAGTCTTCTTGGGACTGGTTTTAAATCTGGTGCATTACTGCTTCTGATGCTGGTTTGTGGTCTAGGTGCTCCTCTTGTTCTTTGATGAATCCTGTAGGATTCTTCAATTTGGGGAGCAGATAGTGGTACCTAGAAAATAAAATTTTACTTTTATCTAACCTATGCATTATTGTACTCAAATTTATTAAGTAACTAGATGACCCGACAGACGTTGTCCTGTACCCATATCTACAATTTATTAATATAATATACTAATATTTAACATTTACCTGAAAATAATAATTATTGTTTTTTAAATTACTCTTTACGCCAAAATGCATATATGTACATTTATAATATGAGCGATATTAAATGTAGAACTGCTTTAAATAAAATGATGAGTCTCAATTCCCACACTATATTGGAAATTGAAGTCTTTTAAACGGTATAACATAACCATAACCATAACATTACACTGGTACTTCATGCTGGATTAAATTAATTTATTTTTTATTATTTAAGATATCCAAAATTGCATCTAAAACTTCTCCTAATCGATATTGTGAGGGCCGAATTGTATGTTTATTTTCCCATTTGTTGTTATAAAGTGAAATTTTTATGAATTTTAAAAATATTGTGGAAAGATTAGTAAAAGATGCAACGAAATTATATATTGAAAAAAAAAACTATATTGAAAATTTGATATGCAAATCTGGTGATGGCGCATTGCATTAAAAGTAGGACCGGCGCTGATTAATACTTAATTTCATATTTCAAGTGAATTAATTTGTCATATCCTGTTCATATGTGTATCATTCAATCTGCAATACATATACTGTATCTTATACTATTTTAATTCATACATCTCAGCTGCTTTTTGGCCATATTAATGAAGACATTTCATTTTTCTTATTCATAATTATAAATTTATTATACATATTCTAATATTGTGTAGGTTCATAAGTAAATTGAATTTTTTGGCAGATGATAGTTTTCATTTGTTTTCAATGCAAACAATGACATGTCGTTTTTTACAATTTTTTCCATCTATTTCTACAATATTGCACATACATCCCAGTACTTTATGATCACATACATCGTAGAAAATTTCCTCAACAAACTTCAGAAAGATTTATCAAAATCCGCATAATCGTTTAGAAGGAGTATACAGTTAGTGCTTGTAATTTAATATGAACTTTATATAAAAGCAATAAAGCTAAAATTGATTCTACGTTTTAGTTAGAAAACGTTTGTATGTGATAAAGGAAAGGGCTGTTTTTAGGGTTTTTCCGGCAATTATTCGATTTTTTCTCGAAGTAAAAACCATCCTTGGACTTCAACGAACATTTTAAAAAAAGAATTGGCCAAATTGGTCCAGGCGTTGTTGAGTTATGCGCTTACCAACACATTTTGCAATTCACTTTCATATATAAGATTATAAATTGTTAACACTGACAATGTAGTTATTTTTATTTATTTACTCCTTTACCTCATCCTCGTGGTCTTCTTCAGCAGGTTGTGACCTCGGTCTTTTGGCGACGTTTCGGATCCGGGTAGCTGCCGTCTCATGGTAATCCTGATGAGGACCTTCACTTGTCATGAAGCCCCAACTTGACATATCATAATCAGGTGTAAGGGTGAATCTGCGACCACCTCGTGTACTTCTGGTGACATCTCGAGCCTGCAAGAAAAGGTACTGTGAATTTAAATTTGATTTTTATTAATTGATGGAAGTAAAGAATTGAGATAACGGTTAAAGAAAAGAGTGTTCGTAAGGTTCAAACGCGATTGAAGTAAAACTTCCTTGCTACTATACAAGATGGCATTTAAGTAAAAATAAATACATCATATAACAATTTTGAATAATGTTTATTAGTAATATAGTAACACTCGTGATGCACACATTTATTAGTGTCAACCATTATACACATTTATATAATGATAAGTCATAAATTATATATTTATAATAGCGTTAAAATATGTATAATATTTAAAAACAATAATGTAATTAAAGTCTTACTTAAAATATGGCATGATCGGTTTGTCATTGTAATTAGAATTTGAAAAGAATTTTCATTGGTGATTAATAAATTCTATGATATTCGTTCTCACAGTGGATTATGTTAAACAACGCCTTTACAAATATTGTTTTTGCAATTTCACTCATCATGTAATTTGTGTTTGAAGAACTTCATGTAATTAAAATTAACATACATTCATTGACTGATGATCTTTTACTATTTTGCTGGCGATATAATCTCATTCTTTGAACAGCTGAAATATCTGTATTGTCTAGAAAATAATTACCATTTTAATAACTTCAAAGATTTATAGAAACTACGAGTAATCTAAAAATAATTTCTAATCAATAAACTTACGTTTAGTACAAGGCCAAAATCAAGATTTGTACTACGATGTAACTTTAAAATGTTTATTTATCTACGCCGATTTCCTTGTTGATATCGGTACGCATACAACGACGGGTCTCTATTCACATACACGACGGCTAATCACAATCGACCCGTATAGAAATGATCTCATCGAGAGCGAATGACGAACAGTAACCGGGCAACAGACTTCCGTTGCATTTGTACGGATTTACACCCTAGTCGCGCCTAAAGAAGTTTTACTTCAAAAATGTAATGTTTTCATCGTTATTTTCATTTTTTTTTATCCTTGATCTGACATTTTCTCCAACCAGATTTCCATCAAACAACTTATTGCTGACATATCAGCCATATCATAAAATCTTTAAGACGACTTCGTCGTCGTTGAAGAGTTGCAAGAAACAGTCTTAATAAACAATAAACTTATTTCTATTAATTTTTATGACATGCCGTGTGCAATTTATATGTCATAATGTGTCATTTGACAACACGTGACGGTTTTTTCTTGACATGTCATGATGGTTCAAGAGAAGAGGAAATATAAAAGATATTGTGAAACGTGCGTATGATCTTTTTTGTTGCTTATGGAAAAAATAAAAAGGTTTTCAAACTATGAAGACACGTTAAATGAGTTAGTGTTTAATAAGTAAATATAATAAATATGTTGATAAATGGAAAATATTTTTAAATTATTCAATGAGTTAACATAACATAACACTGATTAATTAAATAAAAACATCCTGATTAAACTTTAATTCTGGCTGAATTTGTTCTTGGTTTAAATTTGTTTGATGGCACACATACTGTATCTAAATGTGCATAATAAATAGTTAATTATTTATAGCTTTTTTTGACTATTTGACTGTAAATAAACATTTCAAGAATTTGTTCCAACGTAGAACAAAAAAATCTAATGTTTATATAAAAAATATATGGATAAACAGAAAATAGATTATTAATTGCTTTCATTGTTCATTCTAAACCTGTTCCATTCTTTTTTTCTCAATTTAATTTTATAGATTTAATTAATGGATTAATATGGCAATTGTTAAGCTAATCGTCTTCACCTTCATTTTGAAACCTATATTTTTTTTAATTTAAGTTTTATAAAAGAAACCACACAGGATTTGTTTGTTAATAAAACCAATATATATAAATATATATACTAGCTGGCCCGACAGACTTTATCCTGTACCCACGTCTATAATTCAAAAATTCCAAAAATTTTATTAACCTTTTGTATTATTAATATTTACAACACGGATTTTTAAGTTAATTTTGCAAAAGTTCATTTTACATTTATTTCTACAATATTACTATTGTTTTACGACATCTTAAAAATTTCCCTTAACAAACTTCAAAAAGATTAATCAAAATTCGAATAACCGTGAAGGAGGAGTTTTTGTTCATACAACCGCACAGAAGAATTTTATATAACTATGTATATATATATATATTTATATATATATATATACACATCGATCAAAGTGTTGATCTCAAAAACAATTAAATGGAAATTTTGCATCGGCCTTGCAATGTTATGGTCTACTTAATAAATTTACTCAATTTTATGATTGTATATATATATATATATATATATATATATATATTATATATAAACTATTTTTTTAATACATAAAAAAGTGAAATTTCCTAAAAATGTGACCATCATTTGAATAAAACAACGTTGAAATGCTAAATTGTACATTTAGGTCATCACTTTCAATTTGTATAACAGTTTTTTTGCATTTGTTATAAATGCAAAAAGAACTAATTAAAATTTTTGTATCATTAATTAATATAATTGAATGATGTAAAATAGATCGATAAGTTGGGATTTAAATAACTGCGACTTTTATTTATCTAACATTTTTGACACAAAAATTTTAAAAATGCCTTTTGTACAAATTTTCAGTTTAGGTTTCAAACGATTAAGAGTAACTTGAAACGTCGAGAAAAGAGAATTTTCTGTCGAAAATATAAACTTTTCATTCTGGAAGTTGAAATTGAATAAAAATTTCACTTATAATTATTTTGCACTACAACTTTACCTTGGAGACATAAACATAGAAAAATAACATACCATTTCATAACTAATATGTTACATTTTTGAAATCAAATGCGAAAATATTTCTTTTATTTTATTGAAATAAAATGTGATATTTTAATAAGTACTTAACTTTAATTTAAAATTTGTATTGTTTTTGAAATTTATTACTTAACTTTGATTTAAAATTTGTATTGTTTTTGAAATTTATTACTTAAATGATGTAAAATTTGTAATGTTTTAGTAATTTTATTTCACCTAGATGACACCAATTTTTAAATAATTTTTATTATGATGCAAAAAATCCATTTGGCATTAGGGTATCAGATGGCACAAATTTAGCCATTATTATTTCTAAATTCAACAAATAATGTTCCACAAATTGCAAAATTCTAATCATATAACACTGATCTTCATCTAAATTTATCTACCAAAAATTACTTGTTACAAAATATATAACCATCATATTTTTTCTCATCATTCAAATTCAATTATTCAATTACCTCTTTTAGGCGAAGTTTATGTCACGATTATGTCGTTAATTTCGTTCGTACTTGAAGATTCATCTGAGTTATTAGTATTTCTAAATATTTAAAGAAAAAAGACAGTAATTGTTGAGCAATAATTCATTAGATGATATAAAAATTGCCATAAAATGATAAATGATTAAATTTCATGTCACTCGGGCACGCACATGCGTCACTTTTTTGTCGGCGGACGAATCTCAAAATGTTGGGAAAGGAAAAAAATCATTATCATTAATTGTAATAAATATTAATGATAATTATCGGGTCTGTTTAATATACTAATATGAAGTTTTGATATTATTTGTATCTATAACATATTATAAATATTAGAAAGTGTTATGCATTCTGCATCGCTGTGACGGTTTCCTCTATAACATAAATTTTTAACCTCCGAACATTTAGAACTCGAATCCATCAAATTGGCAATTTAAAAAAAATTCCAATGCAAAAACCCGACGCAATTTAGAAAGTATATCGAGTTACATACAACCCGATGGCTATGTGTAAAATGCAAGGAAAAAAAACAATAATAATATTATGCTGCTTTTGGACAGTGGGAGAGCTTATGAAATAGATACTCAACTATTAGTGGTGCATTGCATCGTGCCTTAAGGCAAATTGCTGGAATTTCTCGTACCGAAAATTAAGAATTTTAATGTTTTTGAAAAATTTGAACTATTTTTTATATTTCGAATTTGTTTTTATACTTTGAATTTTTCTGAAAATTTTGAACTTTTTTCAAAGCAATTGTGCTGCGTGGCTGTTTTAGAAAGGAAATATCGAAGCGTATAAGCGCCGCATCGTAGTCTAACTGGTAAACATTGGGACGGAACCCATAGAAATGTAAACAAAATTCATACTTGTTATTAAAATCTTTATAAAATATCTGATAATTTGATGTGTATATATCTAATGAAAATTTTTTACCGCTAAATGGCATTTTTTTACTCTTTTCACTCGGTCTTTCAAACTCCTAGACCTGCCTTAGCAAAAATTAAAACGGTCTTTAATTCGACGCTCGAAACTGAATAACCGTTTTTGGCACTTTTTGCCCCGTATCTTCGGAACGGCTGAACATGCCTTTGACAAAAACTAATCAGCACGTTTCCTTATCACTACGAATCGAATGTTTTTTGAATTATTCAAATCAGTTGATCCGTGTTCCCGAAATCGTCGACGAAAATTTGTATCCGCATACACACACACAAACATTCATTTGTTCTAAGGTATGCCAAAATGTTCAGAAACCTTTGAAACGTGAAGATATATAAAATTTTCATTTTCGTTTTTTTGCGATTACTATAAATTATAACATACCCTATGGAAAGTTAAAAATGGTACTGAATTAACGATAAAAAATACTTGCAATAAAACTAGGTGTAGGTGTCATTCTGTTTTAAGGCAAATTGCATGTCATAAAAGAGCGTCTCAGTATTCCAATTTTTCAAGAATTTTAAATACTTTATTTATGAACTATCAGCAGAAATGTTCCAGATTTTTTTTTCTAATTTACTATTTCCATTTAATATCTTACGAACAGTTTTTGAATTATTAAAATCTGTTCAGGATTTTTTGCGAAAATGTGAACGAAATATTGTGCACTTAATTTATTATATATTAATTAATTTGAATAAAAACATTACTAGGTACGATGAATTATCATATCAGATTAAATTTTAATTAACGGTTTAATTCTATCGTAAAATAGACCAATGTTATAGCAAGGCTAAAAAGCGTTTTTTATATAAAATGGTACTAAAAATTCTATGTAGACTTTAGATATAAACCTAACCTAGAAAACGCACTAAAGTCAATTAAACATTGTTATCATAGGTACGTCTTTTTTATGTGTCATAATAACATATGAGTGACGTTACATTACATAATACATATTTTTATTTACATTAGGATTTTTTGTAATTTTTTTTTCTTTAATCTAGACTTCTAGAGCAATAATTACATCATCCTGATTTATTTTTAAAAAATAGAAAAAATCATGCAAAGAAGGGTTAAGTGTAAAACACCGATCGCATAGCAACTACATAGCATTTTGACAGGTTTTAGTATCATTTTATATGAAAAACGCGACATAACATAGCCTTGCCAAAATATTGTCTTTTTACTGCAGAATTGGCTTATAAACTTCAATACAGTCTAATAATTTTCAATCGGTTTTAAAAAAAAAAACATGAATATTCAGTCTACTAGCCCTCGGTCTATTACACTTCTATTAATTTTTTTCATGTAAATTTATTGCATTCCTCGCGGCCAATACGTAACATCTTCTTCAATTCGAAATGTTAGCAAAGCAATAAATATTATGATGAGCAGAAATTTTTTTCATTAAGAATTTTTTTAATTAATGATATACAAAATATAGCCGGAATTTTTTTTGTCACCTTGACATATTAAATTAATTTCATACACTGATTAAAATTGTAGACATTTCACTGACTTTTAAAAGATGGTTATTGATGATTTAGATCATGTAGGTACGTTTTTTTTGTTTTTGCCGAAAAATTGTTAGATAATGATATAACTGTAGGCATGATGCCATTAGCTTTCTATTTAACAGTATATATTTAAATGGAATGATTACGAATTGTGGTTTATACAATTACCACAAAAAGGAAATAAAAATTTTGTATGAAAACTTAATGCGGCCTTTCAATGTACACAATCTCTTTGAGGTATAGGGGAAATCGGTGTATATAAAAAATTATATTGATATTTTTTATGAGTCACTTCGAAATTTTTGAATTCGGTTAAGACGTTTTTGAGAAAATGTGATAAAAGATCAAATTTTGACTCCCTTACTCTATCCAGATTTTCGATAACATAAATTTCTCCTTCGCAAATATATAGTAACAATATTTAGTTACCATCATAAATGATTATTTCAAATTTATCATATTTATGTTTTTGTTTGTGTCACAATGTTTTTCCTTAATGGCCTCCTGAACTACTGAACCGATTTTGAATTTAATTTGCTCACCGTATGCATTTACACCCAATTTGATCGCTTAACAATGTTAAAAAATTTAAATTCATAGTCGAAAAATTGCATTACTGATCATTCAAGTTAATTTTGACAGTAATGGATTTAAAAAGAAACAAAATACAGTGAAGACAGTTTTCAATGTCAAAAACAAAATATTTCGGAAAATGAGAAAAAATGATTTACAATTCTTATTTGACCACTGTGTGTAGGAATTTTATGTAAGATATTTAGTTTTACCCTGGTCTACTCTATGTTTCATGTACAGACGTAGGTAGGGTCACCATTAAAAGTAAAAGTTAATTACAGAAATTTTCTAGCTGTCGCAAAACGTGATTTACATTTGATAACTGTAACAATCGAACTGTTGTATAATCAATATCTATATTAATAAATTGAAAAATACAGTCAAGTACAAATTGCGTGCTTTTGTGCAAACATTGTATATTGCACGCTTCTTAAAATTATTTATGAATTAGAAAACTTGTTAGGAATTTGTTA